TTTTTTGGCGGGGACCGAACGTCGTCGGGTTCGGACCCCGTACGGGACCCCGAACCCATATGTAGGAAGGTCAGCCCGGGGACCTCAGTACGTACGGCCTGGGGATATATATATATATATATAACAGTTTGTCATAGCCCCTCGTTTGTTGTCCTCTTCTCTTTCTCTGCCTACGGTTTACCGGGCAGTTCTGTTTGTGACGATATATATATATATATATACATATATATACAGGGTTGCCGGTGTTTGGGACGGGCCGAACGCCCGAATGCCAGAACTTTCGACACCCCCTCTCGACGCGTTCGGCCGTTCGGCCGAACGCGGACCCAAAAAAAAAAAAAAAAAAAAAAAAAAAATCCAAAAAATCTGAAAACAATATATGCTATGCAGAAGAATAAACTAAATAACACTTGCCTCAATGTTAACTCCAAATTCTTGACTAAATTTAAAGTAAAAATCAAATACTAAAAATAAATAATAATAATAATAATGAAAGTTAGAAAACATTAAACGAGAATGAAATTATTTAGTGGGCGAGCACGTTTTTGACACCGCCATCTTTGGCGATTTTTCATGTTTTTTTGGTTGTGACAAATGCCATGAAATTTTAAATATGTGGATATTACATAATAGAGAATCTACAAATAAATTTTGAAAAAAAAAAAATCATGCCCTGAAATAAAGGAAAAACAAAAAGTGAAAAGAGAAAAAAAACAAATTCGTGAGTGGGCAAGCAAGTTTTGTCACCACCATCTTTGCCGATTTTTCATTTTATTTTGGCTAAACAGAATCGCTTCAAAAGTAAGAGGGGGATACCTTACATCACAAAGAAATGACAAAACAAAATTCAAAAAAATATATATATATTTAGGTCCCAAAATATGTTTTTGCGAGGTCCAAATCCCTTCGGGTTCGGGGCTCATACGGGGACCCGAACGCTCGAACGTTCGGGGGTCAGCTCAGGGGCCTCCGTACGTTCGGCCTGGCAAACCTATATACATATATATATACATATATATATATATATACATATATATATATATATATACATATATATATACATATATATATATATACATATATGTACATATATATCGTCACATGTATACATATATATATATACTAGGCTACCAGTCGGGCCACCCGGGTCACCCTATTTTTCCGGGCGGCCCGGCCGTGCAAGAACTAGGGAAGGTCCCAGCCAAAAAAAAAAATAAAAAAAATCCAAAAAATCCGAGAAACAAAAACTATGTTATGCAGAAAAATAAACTGAACAAACTTTTGCCTCAAGGTCACATCGAAGTTCTTTACCCAATTTAAAATAAAAATAAAAATTTTAAAAATAATTTTTCTTTTTTTCTTTTCTTATTTCTTTTTGACCCGGCCGTGCAAGTGGATCCGGGCCACTCTGGTGACGATATATATAGGGTTACCTGACCGAACGTTCGGGGGCCGAACACCCCCAGGATCGGGCCCCGCCAAAATTTTCTCGGGGCCTAAACATAAGTTTTTTTTTCTGAGTTGTTTTTTGTGAGTTCTCTAGGATGTAACCTACACGACTAAAAATTTTGGAGCCATTCTGCTAAGCCAAAAAAACATTAAAAATCATCAAAGATGGGGGTGTCAAAACGTGCTCGCCCACTCACTATTTTGTTTTTTTTCACTTTTAACTTTTTGTTTTCACTTTCTTTCGGGGCCTAAAAAAAAAATATTATTTTTTGAAAAACAATTAATGAGTTACTGATTATGTAAACTACATATCTGTAAATTTTCAGTGCATTTCTCAATGCCAAACAATAATTAAAAATCGGCAAAGATGGCGGTGTCGAAAAGGTGCTGGCACACTCACTCATTTTAATTCTCTTTTTATTTTTTCTTATTTTTATCATAGTGTTTATTTTTTGTATTTGATTTTTAATTCAAATTTGGTAAAGAATTTGGATGTTGTGCCCAGTCAAATGTTGTTGAGTTTATTTTTCTCCATAACATATTTGTTTTTCGGAATTGTTTGAAAACTTTTTTTTTTTTTTTTTTTTTCGCGTTCGGCCCGAACGGCTGAACGCCTTCCGAAAGGGTCCCGTACGTTCGGGCGGGTTCGCGCGTTCGGCCCGTCCCGAACGCTGGCAACCCTGTATATATATATATATATATAAATATATATATTTACCAGGCAGTTCTGTTTGTGACGATATATATATAGGCTACCAGCAGGGCCGGCAGGATCACCTCGTTTGCCCGGGGGCCTGGCCATGCAAGGATAAAAAAAGGTCCCATAAAAAATAACATAAATTATAAATAAAAAATCTGAATTGCTGAGATTTGAAGTTTATAGCTGAACAACTTTTGCCTCAGCGTCACATCAAATTTTTTACCAAATTGAAAATAAAAAATAAACTGAACTTTTTTTTTTTTTTTTTTCGGACTGACCAAGCAAGTGGGAGGCCACTGCCTCTATGAGCCCCAATCGGCCCCTTTTCGGGAGCCTGTCGGCCGCCTTAAGTGAAGGCAGGCCCGACGAGGCCCCTCAGGGCCTTATTTCGGCCTTTGCGCAACTAAGGAAATTCAGGCAGTTGCGCAGCGCCAGTTGGTTGAGAAAACCCAGGCCCTGGGCCGCCTGTGTGAATGAATGGAAAGCAGGCCCTGGGCTGGATACGGGTACTAGGCCAAACACATGCCAAAGGCAGTTGGGTGCATGCAACCACCACATGCCCCAGGCCTGTTCTCGATCGTGCTGGGCCTCAGGCTACCGGGGCCTACTGGAAGCTTCCTGGGACTGGACGCAGGCAGGCCACTTCGATATAGCAAAGGGCCTGCCTCCTCATTCGGCATTTGGGTGCTGGCTGCATGCTGCGCAAACGCTGCTGCGCATTTGCTGGCTGGCACCTACGCGCTCACGAGCGAGCAGGGAAGGAGCAGGCAGCCATAGCCGAGCTGCGCTGCTGTAAGCTGGGTGTGGCGCAGCATGGTCCTTGGGTGCTAGTGGCATCTGTGTGTTGGGGAACGAGGTTGTGAGTGAGGCGAGAGACATACCTGGTGCTGGAAGCGTGCGACATTGGTCGCTGTATGCTCGCACTTCGGGAAAGCTGTTGACGTCATCATTCGGCATTGTAGTCTAGGACTCTAGGCTAGATAGAATCTGCCATCTGTAGTCTGGACGCCGAGCGCCAGATAGGATATCAACATTGGTTCTTCATTGATGATGATGATGAGACTTTACCAGCATTGTCAATTATGAGCTCTTGGTGTCTTCTTACTTGGTGAAACTCGTGATGCAATTCTGCTGTTGGTTCGAGGTCACGACTATCTGGTCTTGTGTATATGATGCTGTTTGATTGCTGAAGTTCGCTATTGCTCATCTTCCTTGCACAAGTGGTCTCGGGCCAGTCTGGTAGCCTAGATATATATTTGTATATCCATTGAGTTTGTGTGAGTACTTTGACTGACCTTTGCCGAGTTTTTTATGCAGGCATAGCGTGCACCGGGCGCTGTGCTAGTTGATGTATTATTGACTGCTCCTTTCAATGAGGTCAAGACTAAGTCGTCTAACTTGGAGAAGGAGGTTCCCCCTTGTCTACTTGTCCTAGTGTACGTGAATTCTCTTCATTTGGGTCTAAGGACCTCCAAGGTCTTCTACTTCTTTCACTTCTGTCAATTCTATTGTAGTTATGCCTCCATTTTGTCGACTCCATCTCTTGAATATGTTATTCTATCTATGTGAGGGTCTTTTGTGCTGTTCCAGTCAGCTACGAGGATTAGGTATCTGTAAGTGGGAGTTTCTTCTTTTATGTCGTCTATCAGTAGTTTCTGTGCGTTAAGGTGTTAGGGGCATATATGTTTATTAATCTAATTTCCTTTTGCCTAGCCTTATCCATCTACCGTGTACTGGGTCCTATTTTGTCTGTTCTATTTCTATGAATTGCGTAGCCAATGCTTTGCTGTGGAATAGTACCAGCACCCCAGCTGATGAGATGTTTGGTGTCGAGACCCAGAAGGCTTCACTTGCTTGTCTGAGCCTTCTAACTATTTCTTGTTGGATGCATTTGTGCTCTTCTAAGCCTGTAAGGTGTGTTTCCTGTTTGCAGATTATGTTTCGCAGTGTTCTATCAAACCGGTCTATTGCGGCCGTGAAGCTGAACCATTTGTCAGGGGAGGTCAGGATGGTGGCCAATTCTAGTACAATCCAGGAATGGATGTCTGTCTTGTTTCTTGCCTCGTGCTTCTGTCTCCCTGACTGATGTGATCTTTACTTGAGTGGCTGTAGTTCTGGTTAAGGGGTTGAATTTAGGAGTCAGATGGGGAGTATGGTGGTGGGATGGACCTGGCAACCAACCTGGCAACCAACCCCTTGGACCCCTCACCAGCCTTCGCTTATGGCCCATGTCAATTTTCCAGGCTCACCTTCACTAAGGGCGGCCATCATACATTTCTAGCTGTAGACTTAGGCTGAGGAGTCCTGGAGCCCCACACCTCTATTAGCGTTCTGACCTAACCTTTCCTTTCAGGTCACTGGTCCTCTGATCAGCTCCTCATTCTTAAGTTTGCGGGATAGCTTTCAGATCTTGGGATGTTGAAGCTGTTCAGGAAGCCCTGCAGGGAATGCACAATCATGTGTTATTTGCCACGAACCATGGAGTATGGATTTCACATGGCTGATCTTCTGTGTGCTGCAGGGAATGCAACAAACATGACTGTTGAAAATGCCTGGGCCCCCATTGGAGTAATGCGAACAACAACAGTTGCCCTTCATGATCAATACAGTAATTTTCTTGACATTCCTGATTCCGAGGCTATCATTCCAGCTGTTGACCAGGTTCACCCAAGTTGGTCAGTCAGTTGGCTTCAAGCTCGGCCGAAGAGAGGCTTGCATGGACGGTATCTTCTTCCCTTCTTTGGCCTTCTTCCAGGTTGGATCTCATTCCAAGTCAAGTACAAACGTATATCAAGCACTGGAAAATTGTCCATTATTGGATGGGGCTGGTTTACTTTGGCTCCGAGTGGCCAGCTGCCACCTGCGCGGTTTCAGCACTCAGCTGCCGCCTATGGAACTAAGTTGTATGTGCATGGTGGTTTGGGAAATGACAAAGGCTGCCTTCATCAGTTGTGGGCTATTGATTTGTCAGGCAGTCCAGAAGGTGTCTACAGTCATCGGATAGACTTTCAAGTAAATGCAGAAGATCTCATTGTTCGTCTCCTCATTGATACACAACAACTAATTTCAGTGGGTCTGATGAAGCCTGGATGTGAAGATGTTCTGTTTTTTAATGGTAAGACTGCTGAGATGCTTCCATACTACATAGTTGGATGCAATACGGTTCGGACATTATTTTACTTGAGGACTAAGCCATCAACACCAGAAAGGATGACTCGGACAACAGGAGACCCCTCAGCTGAAAGATTTTCAACCGTTGTCATGCGTTTTGGTAACACGGATGCTGAAATAGGTACCAATGGGAAAGATGTGTTTGAGATTTTTGATAGCTTCGAGGACATACAGAATGCCACAAACGATAAAAGGGCATTGACGAATGAGAATGCCTTAAGCCAGCAACATATCTCTATAAGTCATGAATGGAAAGCAGTAATTGCCCATGCTGATGCCTCACTGGACCACCCATACAGTAGGTGCAGTAGAACTAGCTTTCCAAACTCCGTGATCAGTCCTGTGGACGTCTATATTCCTTGCAAAGGAACAGTAGCTGTTGATGGTCTTGCAAGCCTGGGTGTTGCTGACCTTCCAAAAGGGCTGGAGGCACATTTAATCCGTGAAATTCAGACTCCTCCAACACACTCTGACACCTTCATTGCTAGGGCATTCCTGTATGATACTAATACTGGAGTAGCAGAGAATGCACATTTGTTTGGCCTTCAGTCAATAAACTGCCATTCTGTATACATTGGGGTCTCAGTTAATCATTCGAACATGTTCTATGTTCTGAAAAATAGAGATGGGGAAATTATTTCAACGTCCATTCGAAGGAGAGCAAGCTGGGTTGACCTGGAGATCATGGGGCATGGCACAGACGGCATAAGAATCCATATCAATGGAACTGAGGTTTATAGAGATGTTGTTTCATTTATGCCAACACATATTATCATCTACACCGGTGCTGGCAGTCACTTAGCATTTTGGGATAGCATTGCATTCACAAGTGGTTGGCCAACTGGGGATGCACATTTGAAGACAGAAAGTGCTACTGATTCTCTGCTGCTTAAGCGGGAGTCATGGGGAAACACAGTTCGCTGGACAAAAGTTCAACAAACTGGCCTACAACCACCATGCCGCTCGGGCCATAGAGCCATTGCAAACACTGGTGGCTTGATCATGTTTGGAGGTGAATACGGGGAGTTCTTGTCAAGTGATCTATGGAGGTGAGGAATTATTTCCACATTTCCTCATCGCAATTGTACTGGGAGGCTGTCAACTAGAAAAGAAGGTTAGGGATTTAACATTTCTGTTTTCATCCACAAAGCAAAGAAAATCTCTGACGAAGCAAGTATGTTGCTATTACTTGCTAATACAAACAGAAATCACATTCAGATGTGGCTGGGCTCACCATTCATAAATTTCATCCAACAGACAAGGCAAAGAAAAGTGCTTTGGAGGATCCTTTGATGACATCGCACATGGGAATGTTGTAGAACGATGAGATTTTGGATGACCACCTTCAAAGGTTACACCCTCTTTTCTGTGATTGTCTGCAGAAACAAACCTTACAGGAAATAGAGGCAAGGGCTACTTTACTAATCTTTATTCTCCTTTGCTGCCCTCTTAAAACCCTCCAGCAACCTGTGGAGGGGCTTGGACATCACTATCAGTTACGCTTCACATGAGCGCCCATGTGATGCACGTGCGGAGGGCACGTGCGGAAGTGGTGAGAGAGAGAGAGAGAGAGAGAGAGAGAGAGAGAGAGAGAGAGAGAGAGAGAGAGAGAGAGAGAGAGAGAGGAGAGGGACACACATGAGAAGCAGCAGCTGAATGAAGGTCCGGTCCGAATGAATGAACGAATGAAGAATGAATGAACCAACCTCCCGACCTGGGCCTAGGCCGAAGTGATATACCGGCCTAGGTCCAGGTAGGGGAACAACCTGGTACCGGACCAGGGTCAGGTCGATGGCCTGAAACTGGTCCGGTCTCACCACCGGGCCGTAGGGGTACCGCTACACGATCCTCAGACCTGTGAATGGATCAAGCGATCCATCAAACACGCTATCCGCTGAAATAGCGGAAACCCAAAAGGAAGGGCAAAGGAAACAATCCTAGACGCAGAGCAAGCTCCATGCAGGAAAAGAGATGCAATGCAGACTAAGCCTCAAGCCTAATGTTACATGCTGCACCTGCAACAGGCTGCACGGTCCATTTCCAGGCCCGTGACGTTTTCAGGCCAAAAGCCTGAAAACAAGGGCCTACAGGTCCTGTGTCGTTTCAGCCTGAAAGCCTGAACACAAGCGCCTACAGGCCCTGTGTCGTTTCAGGCTAAATCAGGGCCTTTCCGGATCGGAGTGTTTTCAGCCTGAAACTGAGGGCCATTTCCGGGCCCTCATCAGTTCGACCTACCCTGAAACTCAGGCAACAAACCAGGGTTTTAGCACAGGCCATTCAAGACAACCCCTGGTTGAGCTTCAACGCCAGGGTCTGGCACGTTTCGGCATCGGCAAGAGCAGCCTCCTGGACGGGCCAGCACTATATAAGACCGGCCCGCCCTGCAGGCAGGCAGGTAGTTCCTAGGTACTTCCCAGGCACTTCACGTGCAGTTCAGGAGGCAGGAGGTAGTCTTCAGTATTCAGCAGCAGCACTCTGGAGGAGTGCTGCAGGAGTAGTAGTAGCGTTAGCAGTAGTCTTCAACGCTGGGCGCTAGTAGCGTTAGCTGTAGTCTTCAGCGCTGGGCGCCATAGCAGCTAGAGTAGTACTATAGAGAGAGAGATTGGGCGGAGGCCAGAGAGACTTACCTGCAGCGCCATCTCTCCAGCTTCACCTTCGAGGTACCTGCAGCACAGCGCCACCTTCACAGGTTAGTACCTGGCACATGAGAGAGAGAGAGAGTTCTTCTTCTTCCTCTTCTCAGTCCACCATCTCCTTCTCACCCTCTCGCTATCTGACTTCACTGCATCAGCAGACTATGAGAGAGAGGGAGAGAGCTTGGTGACATTTGGATCCAGACTCGACATTGGACTTCAGACATTTTGACGAGGGATTATTTGGGATTTGTAATGAGACTTGGGGTTGATGACTTTCCCATCTCTCCCCTCCTCTTCTCTGCCTGATCCCCTCCTCTTCGTCTGTGCATGATCTGGACCTGGCGCCTTCTTCCTGTGTACAACGCCAGGCCCCTTCACACATGTGATGAGAATGATGTATGTGGGGTCTGCGTTGAAACGTTGATTGGGCTAGTCATTAGTAGCACCCGGTTCGCTATCTTGTACTACGTGAAAGAGGTCAGTCCCGGTCAGGTCAGGACTTGTATCTAAATCTTCCACTGTGCTATAAACACCATTTTGTATGTATCAGGATGCACACTGCTTGTTGAGATTCTACTTGCACTGCATTGTCCATTAAGTCCTCTTCATCACATTGCGGATCCTTGGTTTATATATACATCGCCCAACTGGGCATGTAACAGTTGGTATCGGAACACCGCACGTGAATGAGGACAACCTGGTCTGACCCGTGTGCGGGGACTAGGTAGCTGATTAGTCTTGATTGATTGATTAGAGCACACTACCGTCTTCACCCGAATAGAACGCCCGGTCAATATAGCCGTATTTGGTGCAATTTTCAGTCCCGATACGACTATAATGACCGGGCGTTCTATTCGGGTGAAGACGGTAGTTAGCCCCCAAAATCACGATTTTGACCTCACTGCCGAAAATCAATTTTTTTTTTTTTTCCTGGATTTTGTTTTCTCGCTGTTTCTGTTGTGGAAAATCACAATAGTGCAACATCTGAAATTTCCGTTTTCGTCTTTCTTCTGAAAATTCGAAATTTCGTTGTTAGAAAATCCGGAATATCTTTTTTTGAAATTTTTGATTTCCGTTTGCAATTTCCCGTTATTTGGAAGTTTGGAATATTTTTTTTCCGAAACCCGTTTTTTTTTCAAAGCGGTACGGGAAATTCCTCTTGCAGTAGCATTTTTCAAACTGCGAATACTCTCATCTGCAAGGAAAATAAGCAACAGCAAGATGACAAATCCAGATTACACCATCACATAAAAAGCCAGATAGTCACACTGTGTCCAGAGAGCAGCATTGCACCAATATTACGCCAATGGAGGTTCGTAGTACTGAAAACCAATGTCATGGAGAGCTTCCTCTCTCCTTCAGCAACACAAGAGTCCAGTCCCTTCACACTCCTACTTGGCGCTCAGCGCCCAGCCTACTCCTACACAGCTACGATCAGCCTAATAATAGACAATGCAACTGTTGACATCAGCGGCAACCCGAAGTACTTGAAGATGTCGCCCATATGCAGACCATCACCAATACAAGGTAAGTGCCCTCACATCATCATCATCATCATCCTTCGCCCTTCCTTGACTTACACCCACACCTGTCCTCTCTTACACCCGAAGACCACCCCTGCGCCTCACTGTAGTCCAAGCCCACCAGCTATGGTGGTTGGGCTATGGCACTGCCCTCAGCAGCGCCCTTCTTCCCTGCACGACCGCACGTGCTGCACCTCGCCTCTCAGCGCCAGCCAGCAGCCGCGAACCTTTGCTCCAGCAGCGCTGCCGCTAGCATGCGAGTGCCTGAATGAGGCTGCCAGGGGAGAGCTCTTTCCTTTATGGAAAGAGCCGGCCTGCTCGTGCAGCCTGGCTGGACTGGCCTGGGCCCAGAAGCTTCCGGAAGGCCCCAGGAGGCTGCCCGGATGCAGCAGCTACTGGGCTGCTGGGCCTTGTTCAGTTGGGCGCCCAACTGTCTCTGTATGAGGCTGCGAATCACGCCCAGGGCCTGCATTCCTTGGAAAGGCCCGGAAGGCCGTGGAAATGTCTGTGTAGCATGGCCTGAGCGCGTCGCAACTGCCTGGACCCCAAATATGAAATTGACAGTCGAGGGCCTCCGGTGATTTGTTAGGCCCGCCTTCACTTAGGGCGGGCACCTCCGTCTTCACTTAGGGCGGGCAATGTTGCATACAGGGCCCCATAGGCCTGCCGAGGACCCAGATCCTTGCATTCCCTCGTCCTTTACTTCGTAGGTCCTCTGAGAAGTCTCTTATTCTGCAGGCATTTTTCCTTTGAGTGATCCTTCATAGCCTTCAATCACTTGAGGTGCTGTTCTCATGAGTTCTTCTCGTGTGAACCACCGGTCTTCTTTAGGATCCAGATGATGTCTGAAGCTCACACGATACTGCATTCTCGGTTTAGGAGGTCGCCCTCTGCCTGATGGTCGAGGAACAGGCATCACTCGATGCTCGACGATCTGGTCAATGTCCACTTCGCCATCCATGGTTGGGGGCAGCATTGATCTTCTGGAAGGGAACTGCTCAGTAGCAGCGAAGGGTGCTATCTTAGAGGCATGGAACACAGGGTAGGTACGCAAGTGAGGTGGCATGCGGATTACATATGAAGGACCGTCTGGTTGATCTCCTACAATGTCTAAGATCTCCCAGGGCCCAAAGTACTGTGGCATTAGCTTGCGAGATATGCCTAACTCCTGCCCAAGCTCAGCGGACTTGATCCAGACTCTCTCGCCTACCTGAAAGTTAGAAGGCCGTCTGTGCTTATTCTCAGATTCAATCATTGCTTCATGAGATTTCCTGATATGTTCAACGGCCTGCTGCAGCATCTGTTCATACTTGACAGCAAACTCTATGCTGCCGGGTGCTGCAGTGGGTTCTCTTTCTGGTAACAGAAAGTCAAGGGCGGTTCGCGACTTCCAACCAAGATGCAGTTGGTTGGGAGTCATGCCTGTAGTACTATGCACAACGTTGTTGTACAGGCTGGCAACGAGAGGTAGTTTCTCGTCCTAGTCGTCCTGACTCGGCTTGATATAGTGCCTAAGCAGTTGTTGTACTACTCGGTTCATTTGTTCCGCTTGACCATTTGACTCAGGATGATTTCCTGAAGTCATTTGGAGTTTTGTGCCCATTTGTTCAGTAGTAGACTGCCACAGTTCGCTCATGAATCTGACATCCCTATCACTAACAATAGACGTAGGTACACCAAAATCCCTTACCCAGTTATCCATGAAGAGTTTGATGACAAAGTCAGTTTTAGCAGTTTCAGGCATAGCGATTAGTCTTGCATACTTAGTAAAGCGATTCACTATAACAAAGATGTGTCTTTTTCCAGTCCTGCTGGTCACCAGTGTAACCATGAAATCCATAGACACACTTTGGCCTGGTCCTTCAGGGATCGGCAAGGGCTTGATCAGCC